CTTTCAGGGACAGGGGAGACATCTGGGGCTGCTTTGGGGGCCGAGGGCTATCTAGTTATGCTGGATAGAAGGCAACAAATATTTTATCGTAAGTATATCCCAGACAACATTTGGGATATGCTTAGCTTCATTCCGTATAACTAGATGTCCCGTATTATTTGTCAAATAACAACCAAGAGAAAAACAGAGACACCATTTCTTGTGTCTGGTGTGTGTGTGTGTGTGTGTGTGTGTGTGTCTGTCTGTCTGTCTGTCTGTCTGTTTGTGTCTGTCTGTCTGTGTGTGTGTCTGTCTGTCTGTGTCTGTGTGTGTGTCTGTCTGTCTGTGTTTCTGTGTGTCTGTCTGTCTCTGTCTGTCTCTGTCTGTCTGTCTGTGTTTCTGTGTGTCTGTCTGTGTGTGTGTCTGTCTGTGTCTGTGTGTCTGTCTGTCTGTCTGTGTCTGTGTGTCTGTGTGTGTGTCTGTCTGTGTCTGTGTGTGTGTCTGTCTGTCTCTTTCTCTGTGTGTGTGTGTGTGTGTGTGTGTGTGTGTGTGTGTGTGTGTGTGTGTGTGTATGTGTGTGTGTTTGGGGAGGTGGGTCGGTTCCTGGGGCTCAGCTGTAGCAGTTTAAAATTCCTTCCAGGCCAGATCCCTAATCCTCCCGCACAATGCTGGCCTTCTCCCCCGCCGCCCACGCCCTCCCCCAAGGGGCCGTGGCAGTGCCACCAGGGGCCCCTTTAAGCCCCTTTGAAGCCTCCGGAGCGCACGCCGCGGGAGGCCCGGCCGCTATGCCAGCTATGCCAGCTATGTCCCCGCTGCCGCCGGCCACCACCGCGCCCCCATTAATACGGGCTAATCTGGCTAATAAATAAACTCCCCTCCTTGCGATAGCCCCCCGCTGGCTCCTCCCCCAGCTCGCCCGAACTGATTCAGGGCTGGACCAGAACACGCAGCCCCTTTCCTTCTGCGTGGCTGCAGTGAGACTGACACCTGTCACGTCCCAGCCTGGGAGGAGCTGCGAAGCGATGCGCTTGCCCGGCTCATCTTCAATGCACCTGCCTTCAGGCAGCAGGACGCCCCGGGAACCGAGGCCGCGCGGGGGAGGGGGGAAGGGGATACCCGTCTCAGAGCTCCCCCTGCAGGTGGGACTGCTGCCCCACCACAGGGCTCTCCCCAGGGAACACCAGGCCCGGAGCCAGGCCGGGAGCACTGAGGCAGGTGACTCTTGGCCTCCCCGCCACAGGAGTCCCTTCTCAGTGGCCTCTGTGGCCCCCTGCGTCCCTGCCTCGCTTCCGAACGGTGACTCACGGCCGAGCAGGCATCGCCTCACCTCCTACATCACACCCGAGCGCGTGCAAAGGGAGAAATTACAGGATGTCAGGGCCACGGCTAATGCGTTCTAATTACCCACCGCTGCTGTCATCCGAGGCCTCAACAGCACTCTGCCAACGGGATCTGTCATTGTAATTACCCCGCCCCCCTTCCTGGACCTAGAACCCGCAGCCTGCCCTCGTGAGCCCTTCCAAGTTCCCAGCAGCAGTGGCGAAGGCTCCGCCTGCAGCCGCCTCCAGGGGCAGTCCCATGCCCTATGGGACAGTCCTCTGGCTCGTAAATCATGTTCCCCATAGAGGTGGGAGACTTGGGAAGTCTAACCCGGACCCATTTTCTCTGATGGAAGAGAGTGGTGAGCAAGAACCTGAAAACCTCGGTGAAATTAACTGTCCCTGGAAGACCATGGGCAAAACTACAGTCTCCATTTTTCTCCCAAGGCTCGGAGTCTCTCAGGGAAGACTCACTCACTGGTGGCTGTATGACAAACATGATTGGCTCCTCTGGGACAAGTAAAGACCCCCCCATAAGGAATATGATACCTGCCTCCCAGGCCTAGAGCCCCTCTGCTGATCACTCATGGCCTGTGGTGTGTGTTGTGAGCCACAGATCCACGGACACCTCCACCCTCTGAAGGCCTTGTGACCTGTGCCTCAGGCCTGGGACCTCAGTCTTACTCCATGCCACTTTCGGTAGTGTGTTTCTGTCCCTAGGATCCCCTCTCCTCTGTCATCTCTAGGTACCCCCCTTCTGGTGACAGTGGATGGCACTCCAACAACTCTTTTTTGTCTTGAGCCCAATATGTGCCTTGGGCTAGAACCACTCTCCAGGCTGGCAGCTCCCTTCCTACCATGAGGTCAGTTCCTGAGGGCAGAGCCTTGGCTCTGTCCTCACAGTGCAAGCTCAGGAAAACCCCGGAAGAGTGGTATCCTCCATCCTCGAATGGACTGGACTGTCTCCCCACCCACACCGCAGCTTCCTAAAGAGGGACTCAGCCCCCTCTTTAGACTGGGGCTCCCTGAAGACAGCCTGTGTCTGCTCAGACTGAGGCTTGATAAGGGCAGGACCATGTCTCCTCAGTGTGTGTTTTCCCAAGGACAGAATATGTCTCCCTCAAAATTGGGCCCATTGAGCGTAATGGCTTCTCCCCATAGATGGGATCTTTGCATTCCACACCTCTGGCTCCCTGTCTGGTGCCCAGACATTCCTTCCAGGACACCATTTGTCATACTTTGATGAATGAAACTTACTAAGAATAGCTCAGTCCTTGTCTCTAAAGGACAGGGGTGGGAGAGGGGGAAGGCCAGAGACAGTGAAGGGTGGGGGATAGTACCCAACCATCCCATGGCCCAACGGCGTTTCCTGGGTGCCCAGCTGGGCATTACAGGAGATGCGATGAAGCCTACAGAACCTCGTTTGGTGATTTTTTACTGGTAACAATCACCAAGGCATCTACAAGACCCTCCTACCTTTCTTCCCCACAGTTGTCACCTCAGGGCCACCTCTGGGCTTCCTCCCCTGTGGAAGAGAGACCGGAAGCAGGTTCCAGCTTGGGTTGGCAGCTATTCTCAGTGGGGACATGAGGAGCCCCGTCCAGGTGGCTTACGAATGTCTTAGGGGCCCTTGGGAGTGGGCGGGTGTGACCTTAGCCCGTGTCTGTGGCAGAGCCTTCCCGGCGCTCTGCCCCCACCTGCCACCTCCTAAGAGGGATGTTTCTGCCTGGTGTTGGCAAACACCTCAGTCTATGAGCCAGGCAGTCTGATGTGGCCCTGGCTCTGCAAAGCCATTTGCTCCTCTGGGCCTCGGTTTCCCTGACCTTAAAATTAATTTCTTTATGTTTATGGGTTTTGAAATTTAAAAAAAATGACCAAGCTCCTCTTAAATAGTAACTCATGGGCATCTCTGTTCTCTGAGCCAACAGAAAAAGAAGGGTTGGACTTCTATGACTGAAGTGGAAGTGGGGGCCAGCCCACCTGGGCCTGGCACATGCTCATGACCCCATCAGTCAGGAAGCCGAGGCTAGGATTGAATACAACCTAAGCTACACAAGGAGTTCCAGACAGCCTGGGCTACAAACTGAGGCTCTGTGTGATGATGGTGATGATGGTGGTGGTGATGGTGGTGGTGATGGTGGTGGTGATGATGGTGGTGGTGATGATGATGATGATGATGGTGGTGATGATGGTGACCGACAGATAAAATGGCTACTGGTTAAAAGTGCTTACTACTCTTCCAGAGGCTCCAAGTTCTGTTCCCAGCACCCACCTCAGGAAGCTCACAACTGCCAGTTACTTCAGTTCTAGGGGATTTGAAGCTACATTCTACACATAAAGTCTGTCTCCCACACAATTTTTTAAACTAGTATCTTTTAGAAGAATGACCACAAAAAGCATCGTGAGCCCAACATTTGGTTCGTGATGCACCTGGACACTCATGGCCATGCCCAGATCAGCACCGAGGCACTTGAGAGCCTGCTGTGCAAACCTCTAAGCCGGAAATCCTTTTGTGCTCAAGCGATCCGGAGCCCTTGCAAGGCTGGGAGCCCAGGACAGGGTGCTGACAGATCTAAGGAGTGGGCAGTGATTGTGCAGTGCCCAGGCTGGGGAGACTGACCCGGTGGGGAGAATTCTTTCAACACTGGTCCAAAGCTGCAGCCCTGTGCACACACTTCCCACTCACCAAAGCCACTGAAGCTTGTCCTGGCGTTGGGAGTTAGGGTGGATAAGGGCTGGGGAAAACTGAGCCCACCTCCTCAGTGAGAAGGATATGGCCTGTCTCTAGGATCCTCTTGCATGCCCAGAACAAGGCATGTGGGATAGGTGGAGAGGACAGGCAAGGACTGAAGGCTGCAGGCACCGGAAGCTCGCATGAGAATGTGACACCTACAGAGATTTTAGGTTGAGAAGGGGCCCTGCAGAAACTGGTGACAGGAAAGGAAGCCTGAAGAGTGCACCCCAGAGAAGGAAAATGCCGTCCATGGGAAGCCAGCCTGGGCCTGGAGTCCTAGCTAGGGCATCAGGGTAGGTTTCCAGCCCTACATCAGTGGCACTTAACAACTGTGATGCCAGTGCTGAGTAAGACCTGTGTTCAACTCTGGCCCCCTGGTGTCACCAGGCAAAGGATTTACAGCCCTCCCCTAGATTCTGAGCAACTTGCACCTGTGGGGCATCTGGAGGGCTCTGGAGGGGCCACTGTTCCCTGAGACCCCTCAGGAGACATGGCAGGGGAGTTACATGTGACTCCAGTCCTTGACCCACTAGGATATAGGATGGTGGTGGAGGAGATACTTCACCCTCCCCCATCTTATATTCTCTCTCTGTCTCTCTCTCTGTCTCTCTCTCTGTCTCTGTCTCTGTCTCTGTCTCTCTCTCTCTCTCTCTCTCTCTCTCTAGCGCGCGCACACACACACACACACACACACATACCCACCTTCAAGCACTGAAACCATCATAATCAAGGTCTTAGCTGAGGTCTCTGCCCCATCATGGGACTCACATTTCAGGGCAGGAAAGACAGATTATCACTAAGTGAAAAACATGATGTCGTTCAGATCACAGGAAAGCGGGAGGTGTGGATGCAGAGGCAAGGGGAGGGGTTGCTGCTTTACATGGGGGTCAAAACACTACCCCAGGTAGGAGATGACCTGCGAGTGGAAACCACACAGCAAGAAGATACTCATGCTTTAGAGTCAGAAGGACTTCAAAACTATACAGTGTTTTTAAACAGAAAAGAGCGTGTGCCCATAAAAGCTAAAGGGCAGGGGAGGCAGAAGCCATTTCCGGAACGTCTGTCCTCTGTCCAGCCCCGACCTGGGATTCACCGGATCCTCGTGGCTTCCTGGCTGCCAGACAGTGCCTTACTTCCATTTGACAGATAAGAAAGGTGACACCCACAGACTTGTTGAAGGCTGGCCTCTGAAAGTACAAATGGGGAAGGGTCACAGTTTAAGACAGATGGAGTTGCCTGGCTGGGTCCAGCCGGAGACTGGCAGACAGAAGGAAGGACTGGGAAATGGTTCTGCCCCACAGTCCAGCCAGGTCCCTGATGGAGTGGGGGTGGTGAACTCCAGTACTGCAAGTAGGCAGACAGCAGCGGGGACCAACTGGCGTGTCTCTGGGTCAGAGCAGGTGGACGGGGTCTTGATCAGGGACTCTGGTAACTAACTGGTCACCCTTGAGTGACTGCGTTACTAAGACAAAAAGGTAAGTACCAGCCAACAGAGAAACCTAGACAGATAACTCACATAGGCTTTCATGCACACACATGGGAACTCCACACAGAAACACAAACACACATGGAGCCTACTCCTGTCTCTATCAATGAGGGGCTTGGAGGACAAGGTCAGAGGCCATAAAACTGTGCCCTAGCACAGTGCAGGTGCCTCTTTCTGGAGTCCTAGAGTAAATGTCACCAATCCTCCTCCCAGGTTTCCATTTCCCCCTGGGACCTCACCTGCAGACATCTTATCTAGGTCACTAGGACACGCAGACAGGAAGGCCACACTTTGCTGGTCATGTTAAGAAGGAATGAAGGTTCATGCTTTGAAGTCAGCAGCAGATCCAGGCCCAGAGCAGCCTCTGAGAGGGAGGAGCATTTACAAGGTCAGAACAAGGACTCAAAGTCAAGGTCAGCACCCTGCAGTCTGCAGGAGGCTATAGCAGACTGGTATATGTAAATATTCCCAGAGGGGACTTGTCCCAGGAGAACACAAACACACTGCCATGGGCCACACTAAGAGGGAAAATGTTTAGCTAGAAATCAGGTAGTCCCTTGGGCTGCAAGCTGGCCAGACCCTCGTAGATCCAGATTTAGAGGTCTCCCTCTCAATGACAATGAGAGGTCTGCCCCAGGGGTTGTTAGCCCTTACGAAAGACAACTGTTGGGTGGGTTCTGTCCACCTCCATATGTCCGCCTGCCACCATGTCCTGTTCTTGGAGAACCCGTCCCAGACGCAGCTATACTTTGATCTGTGCGGTCTCCTTCGTGTGCTGTAGCTCTGGGAGGTGAAGCTATGTGCGCCTTTGCTTCTGATTGGTTCTTGGGATAGGACGGAAGCTTAGTAAATGTCTACACAGGAGGAAAAGAATGAGGGAAGGAAGAGAGGGAGAGATCTGGGCATGCAGAACCTCTCTAGGACTGACGGGTAAAAGACGGTTAGCCTGCTTCTCCAGAGCAGGAATCCCAACAGAAGGGGAAGTTTCAAAGGTCAAATAATAGTGGCTGGAGAGACAGCTTGGTGGTTTAGAGCATTGGCTGCTCTTCCAGAGAGCCCCCGTTCAATTCCCAGCCCCCAACTGTCTGCAACTCCATCTCAAGGGCTCTGATGCCTTCTTCTGGCCTCCGTGTGCACTCGTGCGGTGCACAGGCATATCTGCAGGCAAAACATCCATAGGCACAAACTATTTTTTTTAATTAAAGGTCAAGAGACTGGAGAGATAAATCAGAGGTTAAAAGTATTTGTTCTTGCACAAGACCAGGTTCAAGTCCCAGCACCCTCAATGGTGGCTCACATCTGTCCACAGCTCCAGTTCCAGGGGATCTGACGCCTCTTCTGACCTCTGTAAGCACCAGTCATGTGATACACAGATATGCATGCTGCCAGAACACTCATACACATAAGTATTAAAATCAATCTCTAAAATATTCCTAAGAATTAAAGGTCACTTGGAAGGCAGAGGCAGGTAAATCTCTATAAATTCAAGGCCAGCCTGGGCTACAATTCAAGTTCCAGGACAGCTAAGGCTTTTACACAGAGAAATTCCCAAACAAACCAAAGAATTAAAGGTCAGGGGCCAATGGTGGTGCATGTCTTTAATCCCAATATTCGGGAGGCAGAGGCAGGAGGATCACTATGAGTTGAGGCCAGCATGATCTACAGCCTGGTCTACATGGTGAGCTCTCAATCAGAGTTACATAGAGAAACCCTGTCTCAAAACAAACAGCAATTAAAGGCCAAAAAATCAAAGTGTGGATTGGGTGACCCCAGGGGACCTTGGGCTTCTTAGGAAGATGATGTTGCTGTTTGGAGTTTTGGGTTTTTTCCTGGATTTCTTTTAATTGCACTTATTTTTTAGACAGTATCATGTAGACCAGGCTGACTTGAACTTAATATATAGCTGAAGATGACTGAACTTCTGGTCCTCCTGCTTCTAACTCCTTATTGAGGGGGTTCCAGGCAAGCTCCATTATACCCTGTTTACGTGATGCTGGGGTTTGAAGGATTTGAACCCAGAGCTTTGTGTATTCTCAATAAGACACTTTGCTGACTCTGTCCCCACCTAGGAAATGCTTACACAGACCAAGAGAGGATTTCTCAGAGGTGCAGTAGCTTGAATGGATGAATGAGTGTGTGGATGGATGGATGGATGATTATGTGAATGGATGGATGTGTGAATGAATGGATGAATGAATGAGTAATAAGTGAATGGAAAATGGCCAGTGACTACCCCAGAGACGTTCAAATGCTGAGCAGAAGGCTAGAGACGTTTGCCTGTGTCTCAGAGCTGAGTCTGTGGATTGGCTCCAGACCAGACCTCAGGTACATGATGAGCCTGGAGCCTGCGTTCGAAAGGCGTGTGGGAGACACTCAAGACACACGCACAGCAGGGAAGCACCGTGAATCACTCCGGCATCAGCAGCCGTGTCATGCTATGTGACGTGCTTGGCTGGCAGGACTTCAGCTCTGACCCCCATCCCTCCCACACTTTCCCTGACTGCCCAAGGAGCTCACATCCCAGAACCCACATTGGTGAACTTTCTCAGGAGTGACTCCTTGACACTAGTCGGTCCCGAAGTTAATGCCTCTCTCTTGGCACCATTCCCCTTGGGGTGTAGGATAAACACCTGCGCTGAGTAACTCATCCCACAGAGGTTAGAAGTGGGAGCCCATGATGTCAGCTCTGGGCACGAACCGAGTGCCCTGACTCTGAGCCCACTAGCAAAATCAGGAGTCCGAGATACTCTTGCCTAGCAGTTCTGACCCTTGCCTGTGAGCCTCCCGATTCCCCTTGCCTCAGTTTCCCATTGCAGAGTACTCAATGAGCACAGGGTGAGTGATAAGACACCTTCTTATGGGGCATAGAAACATCTAGACGAGATAGGGAAGAGCATACAGCCCCCTAGAGCCCCTGGATCTGGCACCTGGTGGGACATGTATTCTGTCCATGCTCAGGGCTTGTGTCCAGCTGTCTTGCTGTGGCCAGTGACCTGTCATTGACTCACAGCCAGCTGGGGGTGCTGCTGGGAGAAAGTGGCCCCCAGCTGAGCTCATGAACTTGCAATTAGCTCTCTATGCCCCCTCACCACGAACAGCCTCCCAGCTTCCACAAGCACACATGTCCCAGGCTGCCCTTTCCCAACCACAGCTGTGGCTCTTGCGTCTTATTTTAGCCCGGAGATGCCTCTTGAAATGTCAGCGTTACAACTGAGCCAAGAGTCACCAGGTTCAACCCGCTTGTTCGTTCAACACGGGAAGCCGGAGACTGTGATGGGTTTCGTGTCACACAGCAAAAGAGTGGCGTGTCCGGAAATCAGACGCAGGCTTCACCCACTCACCTCCAGCTAGCCTTAACTTGGGGGACACTCTGCTGCCGGCAGCTCCTCGCCACACTTCCAGTGCCTCCTGACCCTGTACCTATGGGTCCATTGCTGTTTTGTAAGTCAGCCCCTTCGGGCTTCTGGGTCAAAGTTCTGAAATGAAGCTAATTACAGTGTCTCTTTCCCTGGTTGGCTTGAGAATTTGCGTGAGTTCGAGTATCTGAATTACTGCGAATTCACAACTATTACCCTCCAGGCATTTAATCCCACACTGAGGAGGCAGAGGCAGGCAGAGCTCTGCTGAGTTCCAGTTCAGCCTGGTCTACATCCTGAGTTCTAGACCAGCTGGGGCTTCACAATGAGACTCTGTCTCCAAAACAAAACAAAAAGCCTATCAGCTAGTTGGACGAGGCGACACGCGCCGCAGCCTCAGCTTTTAGAAGGTTGAGAAGACCTTGCGCTTGAAGCCAGCCCGGGCTACATAGTGCATTGTGTCTGACTTTGCAGGAGACCCTGTCTTAAAATGGCCCCCATAAAAAGTTTGCTATCATTCTTATGTGTTTGCTGGTATCACCACACTAGGTCCTTGGTGCACAAGTTCTAGAATTCAGTTTTATCAGTTTGCCCACAGGTGAACAGATTCCCAGAGGGAGTCCACAGAACCAGACTTTTGGAAACAAGCAGTGTTTCCATGGGGACAGATGTTGGTGTCAGGAGGACCACAGGGGGCACAGACTCTGCCCTCCATTCTGGTAGTCACTTGCAATGAGGACAGCTGGGGACTCTCCAGGGCCAGACTGGGCAAGCTTGGTGAAAGAGTTCTGAACAAAAGGTGAACCTCAGTTTGTTCTTCTGGGAAATGGGACAATCACAGCCTTCGGATGGGAGCTGTGAGGAGGGGGCTGCATTAGACCAGGTGACAGGATGCCTGGCATGTTTCTCTCTTGCCTCCTCCGGCTTCCTTTATGCTTCTCCATCATCTACTGGAAGCCAGTTGTTTCGACTCACAGATGCCTCCCCCAGAGCTGGCTGCATAAAACTGACAAATCCTTCCTGTTCCAGGTCCCTCCTTTACCGGTCACCAACGCTCCTTCCCTTCGAGTCAGATAAGTTGTAGTCCCAGAACACGTACACCACTGAGGTGGTCTTGTTGCAACCCCAGAGAGATTGTTTAGCCGATGACTCGGTGAATTCATAGATGGAACCGTTCCCAGAAACTCCAGTAAACTCATGCGAAGCGCTGAACGTTGGGCAACACTCAAGATTCCAGAGCCCAGTCCACCTCAAAGGCAGGCTGCTCACTCCTTGCCACTTTGCATCTCCCTCTGACAGACGCCTTTCCTGTGCCTGGCCCCCACTGTGCAGTCTGCGGAGCTGAGGGCAGTCACCACCATTTTGTGGCCAGTAACCACTGCCTGCTGGCCAGGCGGGAGCCCTGTTATGCTCCAAGTCACATCTGTCACCTCCCCACCCTGCCGACCTCCTGGGAAGAAAACCGTCTCAGCTCGATCAACAGCCTTAGGGCTAGCGGAGCTGGGGGGGCACCTCCAGGACTCTGCTCTGAGGAACCCTCTCCTTACAAGACACTGCAGCTCTGAATTCTACCCACGGAGGAGGGCACGCTCCTCAGATGGAAAAGTCAGCAGATCCCCTCAGAGCTTACACTGCTCTGAAAGTTGAGCCTTCACTCTGTTCTCGGATGTTGGGAAGTGCTTTGGGCCACTGTCTCTAGCTTGGTTCTGGCTCTTTTACCACCATTGGTTCCCTGCTCTGGTCCCCATATGTTTCTGGACCACCAATGGCCCCTACTGTTCTATGGGAGGGTTCCAAGAGCTTCTAAACTGGAAGACCCTAATGGTTCTCCCTGCCTAGTGGATTTCTAACAGGGTTGTATGAGCTAAGCTCTGGCCTTCAAGCTTCAAGCCCCATCCTAGACTACAAGGGAGTCTGTACAATGAAGACTTAGTCTCCTTGGAGGAACACTTGATTCTAGCCCAAAGTACTTACGATGAAGTCAGAAACTGAGAGCCAGCACAGACAG